TGTTATTGTTGTTATTGCTATTATTGTTACTGTTATGATGTTGATGGTGATGTTGTTGTTGATGGTGATGTTGTTGATTGTGATGATTTTGATGATGATTACTATTAATATGGTGATTATTATGATTATTCGATGAAGTATTTAATTCTTTTGATGCCTTTTCAGCAAGATATCGTTCTCGTATAGCTTCTCTGCCGATAAATCCTCGTTCACTGGTGGGTCCACGAGGTGCTCGAGATTTCACATAAGAGACTTCGTCACCCTGAGGTAAATAGATAAAAGATGAAGAATTAAATTATGTAGAGGTTGAAGAATGATTAATTGAGTTATATATTTTTTATTGGTTGGTTGAATGATGAAATGCACTATTTTTATTACATATATATTTTTTTTAAACGTATCAGCACTGTAGTCTAAGGCCAATGAGTCACTCACTTGGCGTTGTCGTAGTCCATCTGATCTGCTTGTCTTCACTTGAGGAGCATTATTATTGTTATTATTATTAATATTAACATTTTTATTTTCTTCTGGATCAGTAATTCTTAATCCTCCTACAGAGGAAGAAGCAAAAGTCATTTTTGGAGGGCCAAGAATAATTCTATCTATTAACATGTATATATTTAGTAGAAATATTAGTTGGTATTGCTAATTTTTATTCTAAAAAAGATTTAATATAAATTAATAGTACTAATTACCCGATGGTTTAGGTGAGGTTTGTACTGATCCATTAGGGCTTTTATTGGAAACAGTTAACGAAGGACTTTTTTGATTTCCAAATGAAGAATTATTTGACTCCTCTTTTGATTTTTTTGTTCCATCGTTATGATGGTGATTCGATGATTTATTATTGCTTTCATTTGAAAATAATTCAAAAAAAATATCGTTATAATTAATGAAACTACAACCTCAAATTATTCTAATATAATTTTTTAAATATTCACTAATTATTATACCTTTTTTCATTATCTGTATTACTACCATCAGTTACACTTTTTTTGCCTTCTTTCTTGATACATTCCCTAAACAAATTAAATAATTAGAAAAAATACGACATCAATAATATTTAATTATTAATTAATAGTATAATAAAAATTATATTCTAATTTATATTTTAATTTTACTCACGATTCAAGAATTGAAGGTAAACCTTCAGGTTTTTCAACCAATGGACTATGTTGTAATGCTAATAATTCTTCTATTGTA